AAGCAAGATGAGACATGAATCATGTATAAGGATACCAAATATGAGTGTTGTGGTCTCACGGTCAACTACATAGTAATTAGGGCTCCCTATGCTATTACTCTATTATGATATGTATGATAGTCACACCTCTCATGTGGTGGTGATTGAAGAATTCTTACGAGATATGACCACACCCAGAGTGGTGTCGGGGTATGACTACACCCATAGTGGTGTGGGGTATGTATGACCACATCTGACGGGATGTTGGGGTATGTATGACTACATCCGACGGGATGTGGGGTATGTTTCCCGGGAGAGTTATTAGCATGGGAGTAGCCAGGCGCCTATAAGTAAAACATGATAAGATGCATATGCATAAGTCAAGGTGGTTGAGTCTTTTGCCTATTGGGATATGAGGACGGCTGAGGTCCGATCCTAGTGTTTTGGCTTGATTGTTAGATGTATGGTAGGGGTATGCTCTGTTATGAACTCACGATGCTATGATTATCTCACTCAGCTATGAGCTGACCCTCTTTTATTCTTCTTCTCTGCTTATGCTATGTGTAAGCAGATCATCAGCAGCAGTAGTAGATAGGTGAATAGGTGGGAGCTGAGCTAGAGTTGAAGCCAGGATGAGGTATGGTCTTCAACTATTCTGTGCTTGGACTACTACTCGGGATTTTGGCCAGTGATCCACACCTTTTGTAAAAATGTTTTGAGAACGTTTTTCATGTGCATACTAGCTTCTGATGTAGTGTGAGATATCCACAGGTGTGGAAAGTTGATGATATGTGTATATGTTGTGTAACTGTGTAAGTTGTGACAATTATGGTATGTATAAGTTTGGTATGCAGTTGTGTAGTATGAAAGTGTGACTATGGCTAAGAAAAGCGAATGCATATGGTTGTGAGTATATATGTTTGTGATGAATTATTTTGCAGGTTAAGTTGCAAGAACTGTTAGCCCATTACGCGAGTAATTCATGTCGAAATTTTATTTAGGTAAATTTTGATAATTAATGTAACACCCGAGATTAATTCCGCTGCAATTGTATGAAAAATATGATTAGGAAAAACGTATAGGGTAGGGTGTTACAGTATTGCACCATACTAAAGTTTATACTTGGACGTTAGGTGGGAGTTAATTGTGATATTCAGGACGAGTCAAGTTTTTGGCGTCGTTGTCGGGGACAACGGTCTGAAAGTTTTTTGGTGTTAATCTAGCTTTTAATTTCTAGTTTTTAAAGTGTGTGTGCTTTGCTTGTGCTAGACTTGGTGTTGTTTTCTGATTGTGTGTAGGAAGGTGCATGACTCGGAGAAATCCGACACATTTGCTACCACGTGACGAGGACATAAACCGAACTCTCCCACTCCTAGCACTCAAGAGGGATCTAGCGGAAGCAAGGAGGAGAGGTGAAGAAAGGGGACAACAATTAGGTCCCGGTGCTAGTTGAGTAGAAGTTGAAGAAGTGGAAGGTGAGCTCGTCGTTGGAATAGAAATGGCGGAGAACCAAAAAGAAGAGGGAGTCGCCCAAACTCGTAACCTAAAAGATGTGGCGGCGGAAGAGGAAGTCGCGAGAACAATGGGATACTATATGGCCCCACGGTCGGCGGGCATTCAATCGCCAATCCTACACCCTCCCGTGGCGGCCAACAATTTTGAGATCAAGCCGGCTCTAGTGACTATGATACAGAACAATGCTTTATTCCACGGTCTTCCGAGCTAGTCACCAAGAGAGCACGTGCATAGATTCCTGGAGCTAGCGGGGAGCTTGAAAATCAATTGTATGCCGACTGAAGCTTTGAAACTAAGGCTTTTCCCCTATTCACTTGCGGAGAAGGCAATCCGGTGGCTAAACAACCACCCGTCTCGTTCAATCACCTCATGGACGATCTTCTCAACAATTTCATGACCCGCTACTGCCCTCTTTCGAAGACAGCTGAGTGGAGAAAGAAGATCACCCATTTCGAACAAGAGGAAGACGAGACCTTGAGGGATGCTTGGGAGAGATACTCCGATTATTTTCTTCAATGCCCTCCCATGGGTTCGAGGAGCAGTTTCGGATTGAAAATTTCTACGGTGGTCTAATCCAAGAAGACAAGATTCTCATTCACTCTCTGTGTCAATGGAAGTTGATGAATATGACTCCACCCCAAGTGACCGAGCTACTCGAAGACATGGCCATCAAGGGATACGATTGGGGATTGACAAGAAGTGGGAGGAGAAGCAATGATAGGGGAATGAGAAGTGTGGGAGTACGCGCTTCACTTGAGGCGAAGTTGGACAAGTTGATCGAGGTAATTCTTGAAGATAAGATGCAAGGAAAAAGATCGGTGATGTCTTGCGACTGGTGTTCGAGCACTAGCCATGAGATGGTGGAGTACCAGGAAATGAAGGAGGCAAACACTCCGGAGGAACAAGTCAACTTCATGGCAAATGCTAGGGCTAATAACCCGTATAGCAATACTTATAATCTCGGATGGAGGAACCACCTCAATTTTGCTTGGTTATCACCGACTAATCCGAGGCCCCCGGGTTTTCAAGGCCCCACGGGAAATTATCAACCTCGGCCAACCTTCATCCAACAAAGGCCTCAAGTCCAAATCTCAAGCTTCCAACAACCATACCAAGCACAAGGAGGCCAAGGGTTTCAACAACAACCCGACAAGATATCCAAGCTTGAAGAACTAGTGAACACCTTTGTGAGCACGAGTGCTCAAAAGTTTGAGAAGATTGAGCAGTTCATGGATGTGGAGACTACCAAGTTTACCTCGATTGAGGCGGGACTCCGGAGCCATCAAGCGAGCCTCCAAATTTTGGAGGTGAAAATCGGCAATCTTGCCAGGATCCTCACCCGGAGACCAAAGGGAGCCCTACCTTCCTAAACAGTGGCGAACCCAAGGATCATGCCGGAGTGAATTCAATTCAAGTGGAAAGTGGAAAGGTGACTTCGGGAGTCTCCGCTAAAGAAGTGATTGAGAAGGAAGATCCCAACCCGAATGATGAAGAGGAAGAGCTCTCGAGGGGTGAGAAGAAAGTGGCAAGGAAGGCATCGCCGACACCATCCCCGGTGGTTGAGTACAAGCCACCCCTTCCTTTCCCCACGAGGATGTACAAGGAGAGGTTGGAACATGAGTGTGGAGGTTTCATGGAAATGCTCCGAAACCTCTACCTCAATATCTCAATATCCCTTTCCTTGAAGCCATAGCTCAAATGCAAAGATATGCAAAGTACCTCAAAGGATTCCTCACCCAGAAATCAAAGTTTGAAGGCCTCGCCAACGTGACTCTTGGCGAAGAGTGTTCGGCTTGAAAGTTCGAATCCGAAGATTTAAGGATCAATTGGGAGCATTTTTTATGGATTAATTATGCTCGTAGCTGCTGTGGCATTGCATGGACTTAAATGGCGTGATCAATTTGGCATGGAAATTGCTTTGATGAATTAATTAGTTTAGTTTATTTGGTGGGTTTTCCTCACGTGTGCATGGTTGGAAGAAGCAATTAAAAGGAAGCCAATTCGCAAATGGACAAGGAAATGAGAAGACAATTCTTGCACGACAATTAAAGGGGTAATGAATTGGTGTCCGCTGCGGGTACGGAAAAGAAGGTCGATCAGCACGTGTTTGTGCTGCATATTTTGGAGTTTATGTTTTAATTATTTATTTTGGTTATCTAACAGTTTAGTTAGTAGTTTTAGACCTTATTTAGGTAGTATTATGTTTCCTAGTTAGTTTGGGATTTGTTTTCCTATTCCTTTTAGCTTAGTTTTAAGTTTTTGTGACCTCTATAAATAGAGGATGTAAGAGCTACGAATTTTGTACCCAAGATTTCAGTTATCAAATACATTGAGTGTTTACTCGAGTTCCTTTGTGAACGTTTTACTTAATCTCTCCTTTGAGGATTCGGGAGAATTGAGTGGTCTCTTATCAACTAGAGAACGCGTCTAGTTGTGGCGAGCATCGACTATATCGATTGGCCTTATCCACGGGTTCGAGATTGTTTGATCGATTTCCGCAACTATCCTTTATTTTCGTGTCATTGAAGAAAGAAGAAAACCCCAAAAGAGTTCGGCGTTGCGCAATTCTGATTTTTGGTCCAAGTTTGGGTGGATTCTCGAATTAGGATCATATCACTTGCCTATCAACGTGAATTGGTGGTGGGTTTGAAGAATTAATTAGTTTAGTTTATTTGGTGGGTTTTCTTCACGTGTGCATCGCTGGAAGAAGCAATTAAAAGGAAGCCAATTCGCAAATGGACAAGGAAATGAGAAGACAATTCTTGCACGACACTAAAGGGGTAATGAATTGGTGTCCGTTGCGGGTACGGAAAATAAGGTCGATCAGCACGTGTTTTTGCTGCATATTTTGGAGTTTTTGTTTTAATTATTTATTTTGGTTATGTAGGAATTTAGTTAGTAGTTTTAGTCTTTATTTAATTATTATTATATTTTCTAGTTTGTTTTGGATTTGTTTTTCTATTCCTTTTAGATTAGTTTTATGTTTTTGAGATCTCTATAAATAGAGAGTGTAAGAGCTGCGAATTTTGTACCCAACATTCAAGTTATCAATTAAGAGTTTTTACTCGTGTTCCTTTGTGAACGTTTGTGCAAGCTTTTGTCGAGAGTCTCCAGGAGTTTCACGTATCTCTTATCAACTAGAGAACGCGTCTAGTTGTGGCGAGCTTCTACCCAATAGCGATTGGCCTTATTCACGAGTGGGTGATTGTTTGATTGGTTTCATATACCAATTGGCCTTTCACACGAGTTGGAATCTGTTTGATCGTGTTCCATATCTATCCTTTATTTTCAAGTTGTCAAGAAAAGCTTCAAAAATTTCAAAAAAAATAAGGAAGGCTGCGTACTTTGGTCATATAATCTGAGTTCGAGGGTTCTCTTCGGATTTGGATCACATCACTCTTGGTATTGTTAACCACCATATAGACAGTGCCTTGGCGGACCTAGGAGCTAGTGTTAATGTGATGCCCTACAAACTTTTTATAAAGTTAGAAGTAGATGAACTTAAGACCACTAAGCTTAGCATCACTTTAGTCGACCGTTCGGTCAATAGCTCGAGAGGCATTGTGGAGGACATGTTGGTGCGAGTATGCAAGTTTTGCTATCCGACTGATTTCGTGATTCTTGACATAAGTTAGGACTCAGATATGCACTCATGCTCGGTTGTCCCTTCCTCGCCACCGCTAAGGCATTGATAGATGTTAATGAGGGGACCTTAATTCTGAGGGATGATGAGGAGAGAATCACTCTTGAAATTGACCCTAAGGCTAGAAGTGAGGAAGTGAAGGAATTGATTTCGAATGATTTGAATGTGAGTGGAGGAGAGCCTCTCATGGCGAACCCCACTATTATTTGTATCGCTTGTGGTGATGTTGAGCAGGAAGTCAAGGAGGGTACTATGCCCAAGTAAAAGAAGAAGAACGCTTGGAGGCAAAAGATGAAGCAAACTTTGGCCCTAAGGAAGGAGAATTCCAAAGCTAAGTTGGTCGGCCAAGATGGCCACCCCATGGAGCATAAGATGGGAGGCTACAAGCCTCACCCCGAGAGTGTGGTGGATTCACTCTCGGTGGCCTCACTTTCTAAGACGTGAGTGATCCTCAACCGTCAAGCTAATGACGATAACTTAGCGCTTGTTGGGAGGCAACCCAACGGAGGTTTGTTTTCTTTTCCTTATTTTCCTTTTTTGTGTCAAGTGAAGAGTTCAAGTGGTCGAGTGGTATCCCCGTGCCAAGTTTTGTGGTTTTTCATTTTAAGGTTGTGTTTTGATCGATTAGGAGGCACGGTGGAATTGGTCGAGTCAAAATTTTCTCAGAAGTGCCCTGTTTTCACTGCAGTTCACGGACGGATTGCTGAATTCACAGTCTTACAACACCGTGAACATGCAAACGCGTCCTTGAACTGGGCGCTTCTGCATATTCACCACCTGTCGACCAACCACAGTTCACGGATGGATTTGAGTGTTCATGGTCTCTAAGATAATGAACAAGCCAACAGGTCCGTGAACTCTGTGCCTCGCCTATAAAAGGGGCGTGAACGGCAACTCTTCACTTCACGACCCAAAACTCGCCGGGAAACCACGAAATTCCGACAGTTTTTCATTTTTTCACCCATTTTCGGCGAGCAAATCCCAAAACCAACTTCATACCCATTCTCCCCTCATCAAGGCCGGCATGTGCTGGGATTTTGGGGAGATTTGGGGCAAGTTTTCTCCGGCCAAGTCGTCGGCGGCGAGTCTCTGGCGAGCTTCCGACAAAGCTCCGACGACCCCTCTCTGGCCTGTTTTCGGCCATTTTTTGCCTTCCTCGCCCGCACCTCACTTCCTCATACGTCCTACTTCCGTCTCCAGGTTGGTTTTTCAGCTCTCCATTGTTAATTTTGGGAGAATCGGATTACGTAGTGAAGTGAGGAGAATATAAATGCTTTGAATGTTGAATGTTGAACCTTGAATTAGGGCGAGGAATTAGGTGAACTAGGTTGATTCAATGGTGGAATGTTATTGCATGAGCCTATTTGAGCCTTGGTGGGCGTGTTTGAATCGAATTGCCGTTATTTTTAGAATTTGCCCACCAAGTGCTATTTTGTGAATGCACGTGGAGCTTTATGCTTGTTTGGTGGATGGTAGCCACCGTGGTTTGAATTTTTGTATAAATGAACCGTGAAACACCCAAAACCATGCCACAGAGTGCTTGAGCTTAAATGTTTGCAATCCGTAGTGGAATATAAGTGTGGGGGGAATCTCTTTTCCTCCCAATGAGCAATATTTAATGATTGTTTCCACGTATGGTGTATGTTTGCCAATTTTTGCAGGATGCTTAACTTGGAGCACGAGTACATCAGCTACCTGGTGCATCACTCAGGAGTTTGGCGACAAGTTCGCTTGCCAGAGGGACAGCCCGATTGGGCCCCATTGGCGGTTGGACATGTTCAACCTGTTCAGGTGCCGAGCCGCGATGTACGGGGCACTTTGTCACCCCAGTGGCGCCATCTCCTAACGGTGGATGATCAGATCTACCATGAGATTTGCGTGGAGTTCTACTCCACCTTCTCCCACGTCGTCCCGGCCAGTCAGGAGACCCGACCGCACATGGAGTTCATTCTGGGAGGCCAGCCACGAGTGCTAACCTACGACGCCTTTGCTCAGGCCATGGGCTCGACACCACCCACATGATGATGACCGAGCTGCAGTACACAGTTGATTTCAATTACCATGGAGTATTCCGGGACCTCTACCGCCCCGAGCACGAGCAAGAGGAGTTTTTGGGGAGCCGCACCAATGCGGTGATGCTGAGGACACCTTGGAGGATCCTCCACACTTTGCTCACCCGCTCAGTCGTCCCCAACCTGCAGACAGGCCATCTGATGACGAACAGAGGGCTAATCGCCCTCTATTCCATGAGGAGTTTAGCAGAACCGATCCATCTGGGATCTCTGATCGTCACATCTTTCGCCCGGTGTCTGGGCGGAATAGAGTGGACACCATGCACATGGGGGGCCTCATTACAAGGATTGCTCGACACCTCCACATGGATTTGTCTCGATGCTCCATCGTTGGGAGGACGAATCCCTTCCCAGTGACGACCTTATATAACCAGAAGCTGGTACTCCAGGGAGATTGAGGTGTGGATTACCTCGAGGGACTCTGACCATTAGGAGTACTCCTCGGAGAAGCAGTCGACCCGGCACTAGTTGAGCATGACCTAAAGGTCCAACCTCCAGATCAGCCGACTACTCGAGCACTCGGCCGCCGCCGGCGTCCCGCACTCCAGCGCCCAGCCCAGCCACCACCAGGAACATAAGGTGATCCCCTCGTCCAGAGGGTGGATCGCCTAGAGATGAGCTTCGTGGGAGTAACTTCTCGCCTCGACCGGCAGACTGACCTCCTCGAGCTTATGGCTCGACGCCAGGGCGTCCTTCCAGATGATGGAGAGGGTCCTTCCACCCACGAGAGGTAGCCGACGAGTGAGACATGTGGCAGAGCCGATTTCTTTCGCCCCACTTCTCCACTTGTAACTCTGAACTCGTTTTGGTTTTTTTTTCCTTTTGTGTGTGTGTGACCATAAACTACTACTATTATCGTATTGTATTTTGTAATAACCTTGCCTCGAGTGAGTAGTATTGTGTTTGTGTGTGTGCTTTTTGTCTCTCCTTGAAGCTCCAAACTCCTACCCCGGAAACAATTTCAACTTTCACTCACCAAGCCCAATAGGTAACATCATTCTACCCCTATCTTATGCCATTGAGGGAAATGTCGAGCTTAAGTGTGTGTGTGTGGGGGGGGGGGGGGTAGTTTACTATTATGCTAGTGTGAGTGATTGATGCTTGGAGCCTTGATGTATGCCCAAATTTGTAAAATTTGAGGGCTTCAAGCAATGTTTTCATGATGAAAGTGGCCGATTTGTGGGAAAATCTATTGTTTGTTGCCATTGATCTTGAATTGTTGCATGTGATCGAGTATATGCTATGATGATGACTGAGAGGTCCATTAGGATAGTGCAAAATTTTAGTTCTCATGTGTTCATAAATGAATGGACGTCTTGACTCGATTACTTGTTGATTACAATTTGCCATGCATTGTGTTTGTGAATTGGAATAGATGGTTGGGGGACTAGGTAGCAATGTGAGCTTTGAGTCGATCGTTTTCTTCTTGTGTGCTTAGATCCCTCTTACCATGGCGAGTAACATCACAGTTGTCACTAGTAAGTATGATGGAGGCATAGGATTAGTCCACGCCCAAATGTTGATTGTTCCAGAATGTGTTATCCCTTAGTCAACCCCTTTGAACCTTGTGACTTCTAGGGTCGTTCTTAAATTAGGAGCTTCTTGCTTGTGAGCTTAATGGTTTGATAGAACGACCCCCAATCCTTTCTTCGTGTCTAAACATGAGTCGTCCTTATGTCTCGGATCTCTCAATTTCTAGTTCCAATGAGGTTCTACATAGGAGGTTTGTGTGCGGTCCTTGCTAGGAAAGAAAAGAATGAAGTGTAGTGTTGGAGTGAAATGTGGCAAATGTTTTACCCTCTAGTACGCCACTCAAAAAGAAAGTAGAAAAGAAAAAGAGGTAATAAAACGAGGTAAATAAAGTAGAGAGTGCCACGATAACCAAAGTGTATGATCTAGGAGGGGTTTCTTGGCACTCAAGCCATAGAACTCCTTCACTACCAAACCATAATGTGATAGCAAGAGTAGACCGATGAAGAGTTCTTAAACGTAGTTCATGAGGGGTGATAGTTTGGAAGGGAGAGATAAAGTTTTTGGCCGGTGCTAGTGGCCTTTGGTTGAAGAGAAGGGTCTTAGTCCAAACCATAGAACCTTCGGGTTTAGGTTGAAGATGTAGAACCTCATTTCGTGTTTGCCACTACCCAAAAAGCCTTTTTCCCATGTCCAAGACAATTGCTAGTCATCTGAACCCGTGTCTAAGACCTCCAGACAAGCTAGTGTTGACAACCATTCCGTGAAACTCTAGCATTTAGAGGTTGCCGCCGTGGTGCTGAGACGATAGATCCGAGTGTTTATGGTTGTGCACATATTTGGCACCAAAAAGGTCCTGACCCCACTAGTCTTGAGAGTGAGTGATTCATTCTTGCTTTGCATGTCATATCATACCCCGGTGAGGACCTTTGTTGCCTTTCCATTTGTTCCTCGGACTTGAATTATATGCATGGTTAGTTGTTGTTGATAAGTGGAATTGTTTAGACTTGCATTGATCCATGAATAAGGTGAGAACTTTTCGTTCGCCCATTTTTTGTGGCCTCAAATGTCGTTTGTGGTGGATGTCGGTATTGCTTGCAACATGTGTTAATTGCCAATAGCCATTGAGAATTCCCACTTTGTTCCATTTGAGTTGTCCCCAAAGTAATTTTTGTAGGTTGAAATATTACCTTGTGTGAAATGGTTTTCTTGGGGACAAGCAAACGTCTAAGTGTAGGGGACTGATTCGGCACAATTGTACGCATTTTACCGCCGTTTTCCTTAGGAGTTTGTGGCAATTGTGCTCCTAAAAGGGTTGTTTTATGCTAGTTTTCTTGTGTTTTAGCATGTTTCATGATCTAACAGGTGAACCATCCCCGGAGTCGAAAGTTGGACGAAAAGGAGCGAAAACCGGGAGAAGATGTGGAAAAATGGTAGTTCACAATCTCCCTTGGGAGTTCACAGTCTGCTAAGACCGTGAAGAGGAAGCATCAGCCGTGAACCTCAAGGCATCCAGAGAATTTCCAAAATTTACTGACACCAGGCGAGTTCACGGTCACTAAGACCGTGAACTGGAGCTGTTGCCCGTTAACCTGCGCAAGTGAAGCTGTGTGTTTCGACGTCAACCTTTGAGTTCACGGACGCGTTCAAGAGTTCACTCCCGTGAACTGAGCCTGATCCCTATTTATAAGGAGAGCTAAAAGGAAGAGAGAAAGGGGGAGCCCAAGAGAGAGAAAGTGTCTTCTTCTTCAGATTTCATAGAGAGAAAGAACGAACCAGGGAAGAAAGAAGGCTAGGGTTTGCTCCAAGTGGTGAATTGGGAAGATTATCCCCAAGAGAAGATCAACACAAGCTCAAAGGAGATTGGAGGCATCACTATGATGGTTTCTACCTCTTCCTCTTGTGTTCTTCCCCTTTCTAGCATGGAGTAGTTTCCTTTTTCACTTGGGTGCTGTGAAACCCTAACTATTTGCCATGTAGTTGTTGTGTGAATTGAATGATTGTTTATGGGTGTTGTTTAATTCAATGATTGAGGTATTTTCATGTTGTTTGTGCATGTTTGTATTTACCAATCCAATTGTCCATTCTAACATAGATTAGAGGGAGAACCCCCTTTCAAGGGAGGCTCAATTGAGTTGGGATTCCTAGGACTTTTTAAGCCACCTATCTAGGTTAATGTAGGGCCAACCTCTGTGTTGAATTAAGCAATTTGGTTAAGTGCGATTAAGCCGACCAACCATTGGGTTGAGTTAGAGAGTAAGTCAACCATTGATTGCCTTAACTGAGAGGGCTACTTGAGTAGACTATAA